AAAGATCAGGCTCCAAAACATAGATAAGCGACTCTGCCACAGAGAGGGTGTGTCTGGGTGTAATCTCCAAACTTCACACACATAGGATGGGTCCCGGTAAAAATAGTGAGCCTTGTGAGCATGGGCCTTTCCTTTTCTGGGGGCATGCTAAGATAGGAAAGCCAGAACCTTGCACAGGGTTTGGGATGCCTGCAACTACAAGAGGTACCTGGGACCAGGCACAGAAACCCCTCCTGCCCTTTTAGCACATGCATTTTGGAAGGAGATAAGCAGCATGGAGTAGCGCTCCCCTGCATAACAAAAGCATGAGGTGGGGCTGCCAGAGACTTCACGCTATGCAGATGGCACACCTGGTACTAATTGCTTTGCACACTATGTTGATAACATACACTCTCCCCAGTAGCACTTTTATAAAAATCCTTACATCTGGCCGGATGCAATTACTCACGCCTGTAATCCCAGCACTTTGGGAGGCCAAGGCGGGTGGATCATGAGGTCAGAAGATCAAGACCATCCTGGCTAATATGGTGAAACCCTGTCTCTACTAAAAACACAAAAAATTAGCTGAGAATAGTGGCGGGTGCCTGTAGTCCCAGCTAATCAGGAGGCTGAGGCAGGAGAATGGTGTGAACCCGGGAGGCGGAGCTTGCAGTGAGCCAAGATCACACCACTGCACTCCAACCTGGGCGACAGAGCGAGACTCTGTCTCAAAAATAAAAATAAAAATAAAAATCCTTAAATTTTACTGTGGCACAGCAACCCATTTGGGAGTCCTCTCTGTGACAGAGAGCATTTTTTTTTCTTTTACCTATTGAACTTCTGCTCTAACGTCACCCTTCGTGTATCTGCATCCCTGATTTTTATGACCATGACACAAAGAACCTTGGATGATATTACAGACAATGAGGCTGCTATATGGGAAAGTGCTTTGGGCAAACCTGCCTCCCATTCTATTCAAAGTTATTCCTCTGAGCCTCACCTGAGACAAATACATATCTGATTGCTTCCTCTTCACTATCATTTATGTAAAAATGAAGATTCACTGAGTCAGACTAAATTGTGTATTCAGTGGAAGGTTAATAAATGACTCAAAAGAATGCAACCTATTGTCTCTTATCTACTTCTAACCTGCAAGCCCCCATTTTGATTTGTCCTGCCTTACAGGAAAAAACTGATGTATATTATGCATATATTGATTGATGTCTCATGTCTCTCTAAAATGTATAAAAGCAAGCTGTACTTCAATCACCTTGGGCACATGTCTCAGGACTTCCTGAATGTGGAATATCATAAGGTTTCTCTTCAAATCGCCTGATCAATCCTTTATTCTTTAATCCATAGTACCCCTCCCCTTCCCTTTACTTTTTCTTTCTTTCTGCCTTTACTACATGCTCAGGCATGCCACAGCACGAGTGGCTTATCAGTACTAGCTCACATTCCGTTCCATATCTGGGGAGAAAACGAGCTCTTTAGCTCACCACAGATGACCCCTTTCCCTCTCCCCTCTCTCCCTTACATGCACACTAACAAAAAGTTCAAATGTTTAGCCAATGGGTCCTATATTACGTTGTGTAGTCTGACCCCAGCCAATGGGAAAAGGCACAAGGACAGGATTTGTGTGAGGATTAAAAGTTTTCGTCCTCTGTTGTGCTGTGTGCTCTTGTGGCGACTGGCCAAAGAGAAGCACCCCTCTGTGCAGAAATAAATTTGCTTTGCTGAAAAATCCTTTTTCTGAGTGCTCGTTGTCCTTAAGACTGCGAGCTTTATTTCCAACACCGAGGCTAGATCATAGGTGGATTCTTAACTTTGGCAAAATAAATGTATTAGTCTGTTCTCCTGCTCCTAATAAAAACATAACCAAGACTGGGTAATTTATAAAGGAAAGAGGGTTTAATTGACTCACAGTTCCACATGGCTGGGGACGCTTCAGAATCATGTCAGAAAAGCAAGGGACATCTTACATGGTGGCAGACAAGCGAGAGCTTGTGCAGGGGAACTCCCCTTTATAAAACCATCAGATCCAATGAGACTTACTCACTTTCATGAGAACAGCATGGGAAAGACTTGCCCCTATGATTCAATTACCTCCCACAGGGTCCTTCCCGTGACACACAGAAATTGTGGGAATACAATTCAAGATGAGATTTGGAGGGGGACACAGCCAAACCATATTAATAAGCTTCCTAAATTGACTGAGACCTGACTCAGATATTTGTTTTTTATCCTACTAACGTACAGCCTCCAGAGTTGCAAGGTCTATATCAGTTTTCAGGATTTTTCCCCTTTGGGTTGTTTGTTGTTTCCTCCTTTATTTTCTATGTTTTACTTCTCTTTTTCTCCCACAGTTTTCTTATTAATGGGATGTGAGACTTCCCAACATTTGAAACACAGGAAACAGTGAACTATACTAACAACATAGAACCTGCTTGTCTAGGACTACTACCTCCTACCCATGAAAGATAAAACAAAACAGGAGACCAGAAACTTACTCTGTTGTAAAATGCTTCCTCTGAAAGATTTTGAAAAGGAAAAGGTGGGGAAAATATGACAGGAAAATAAAAACTTGTGATCTGAATTCATTACGTCATGGCGGGGGGACATAAAGATGATCCACACAAGAAACCGATTTTCCTTTCATTCTTAAGAAAATAGTTATAGATAAAAAAGTTAAATATCTTCACAGATAGTTACTCTTTGTTCCTTTTATTTATGTAAAGTGCTGACTTAGTTCAGGAAAAGTACATAATTTTCTATTTCCCTGTGTGCTTCTTTTTCATAACATATAAATTTTCATCCCATCCCTCTTTCCCCTCTAGCCAGCTTTTCTCCCCCTTTTCGTATTGGAAGCCCTAAAAATCATCTTTGGGGAACAGCATTAACCACACACTCTTTTGTGTGATTACTTTAATTTTCATTCCAGGCATGCCCTAACTTTGGCAAAATTTATTTTAATTTGATTGTGATCTGTCTCAGAAACCTTTGGTTGCTACTAGGAAATATCCCAAA